ATCTACATATAACCCCCTCTCTACGGGACGGACAACAGAAAAGTGGGTGAAGGAAAACGTTGGACAGTGTAAGATATGACAAAATAATAATACTTTATAAATTAAATTATCAAGGGTTCATGAGGGAGGGGCGAGGGGAGGGAGGGGAAAAATGAGGAGCTGATACCAAGGGCTCAAGCAGGAAGCAAATGTTTTGAGAATGATGAAGGCAATAAATGTATAAATGTGTTCAACACAATGGATATATGTATTGATTGTGATGAGATATGCATGAGCCCAATAAAATGATTAAAAATTAAAATAAAACAAGCAATATTTGCCCTACCTCACCCACCACAGTTACTGGGGATTCATTACCATAATGCTCCCCCTAGAAATGCGACCAGTAAACAAGATAACTTTTGGTGGCTGAAAGATGAACCCTTTTGAGTAGCCCCAATTGTGCGTGCTTCATTCTGTTGTACAACTACGAGTCGTGCCAACTTGACAACACCTAACACCAACAATTTTAAGGAAGAGTACCTGGGTCATTAAGAGGTCAACTGTTTACCTGCATAAGAATTTAACTTTTTTGTTAACTTGCTTTATTCTTTCTGGTAAGTTGATAGAGATACTTCCATGTTGATTGTTAGAAAGCAAAACTGTTTACCTTTTACCGTGAAATCAAGGATGGAGAAACCTATGCTGAACTTTACTTGGTGTGACAGCCAGGTGTGGAGCTTGAGTAGCGTGACTCTTGTAATGGGTAGGTCTCCAGAAGGCCTCTGCACGCGGTCCCTATGAAAGGTGGCTCCTAAGAGACCTGAGACGTTTAAGCCAGGGCATTCCCTTCTTTGCAGAATAGGATCTTGTTGAAGAACTTAAAAGCCCCAGGCAACTATGTGAATATCGTGTAGAGAATAGCAAGAGCTCTCAGAAGCGAAAGGCCTCACTCATGCTGTCCACATAATAAACTGTGATTTCTGTCTGACAGACTTTCTGACAAACTAGTGACAAAAACAGCCTATTAAGTGAGTCTAAAGGTTAAGTTAGTGGTCCTCACAGTGTGGAACACGGACCCTTTCAGCGACCAACAAAGCTGAAACAACTTTAATAACAATTCTGTTACAGTACTAGTTTTTCCTACCATAGCAACACTTGACTGATAGCGTAGAAGCCAACAGAGGTTAAAATCGTTGGCACCTTAGCACAATTAGCAAAGTGGCACCCAGATTATTCCAGTCCCTGTACTCCTCCACACCATGTTACTGCTGCGAGGAGCCATCACGTTGGCTCTGACCCACAGCAACCCTACGCACACCAGAACAAAACACTGCTGGTCCTGCGCCGTGGCCATAAAACACACTAAAAAAGGCCTGCTTCACTTAAGAATGTCTTTGAAGCAGTGGAAAATGGCGTTATCAAGCGTCTACATAAGGTGCTATCACTAGGGGAGCACCCAGCTGGAAGGTTCTCGCGAGGACAGGGATGACGCAATTGTCCCAAGTCACAAACTGAACCTGCTTCTCCCAGGGACAGTACTTTCACTCGCAAGACGGACATAATAGTCCTGTTACTCAAGTTGGGTGTTTGGGGGGAAAAAAGACAATTTGTCATTAGTAATACATCCACGCTTTCGAGTAAAAACTATTAATTTTGGCAAACTTGAATCTGCCACCATAAGCCACACAGCTTCTCAACATTTTCCTATTTATAGGTGGTGATAACAACAATAAGGGTTTCTCAGGTGGCAAAAAGAAATCTGTCAGCATTTGGAAGAACAGTCTGACTCAGTGGCCAATATGCATAATGATCCATAAGCGCGCAGGACTGGAAGCCAGTCAAAACAGCAGGCGAGGGATTTTAATTTAACAGAGAGGCTGCAGGACCCAATGCTCAAAGGACGCATTTTCAACTATGAACACAAAAGCACAGGCAGCAAAGGAAAACGCAGATAAATGAGAGCACATAAAAATGAAACCTTCTTGTTCACCAGAGGGCCAAAGTGAAGACGACCTACAGACTAGGATAAAACTTTGGGATCATGTATCAACCATGTATCAACACGGGCACAACATGCAAAACATGTAGCTCCACATCACAACATCAAAAGAAACAAATAACCCAAAGAAAAATAACACGCAAAAGACTTGCACGGACACTTCACCAGAGATGCTATTAAAAGGCTGGCAGTCACACGAAAAGATGTGAGACATCACGAATCATTTGAGATACAAATCAAAACTATGAGAAACCACGGCTCACCCATTAAAACAGTAGTGATCAGCAGTAAAAGAACATGGTGGTGAGGTTACAGGGTAACTAGAAAATATCCATCCATTCATTCCTGGTGGGAATGTAAAATGCTGGCAGTTGCTCAAATGTATAACTACCAACGACAGTAATATTTTAATGTACATTAAGGCAATTAGGGTAGCACATCAAATCTGTCATTTCACCAAAAATACTGATTGAGAGATTACAAGAAATGAATCAAAAAGAAAATTCCCTTAGAACACAGGACTATGGTAAAAAAATTTTTCTGACAAGATTGTACAATTGGCTAGATGCTGTTTTTATTTCAAAGCACCAAGACATAACGTAAAAGCATCTATCACATGAAAAAATACTTTTAACATAAATATATTTTCTAGGACAAACTAATGGTAAGATTGCCATACTAGAACTGCTTAGACAGAAAATGTTGAAACAATTCTACTTCAATGTTCGCAGAACGTGAAGGCCACTGTTAGAAAATCCCACAGTCAACTACGTGCAATGTTTCTGCTCAACACGCCTGATGGGAGGTTATTTAGAATCAAACAGTTCGTGCTTTAGTTGGGAGCATAGACAATTACATTGAAACACGTCCCCGGCACATGATGCACAGCACACACTAAAAGATGTTCTTTAGGCAAAAAGATTAACTTCAGGACGGCAATAAATCAACCCACATTTTAGTTGGCACTGTAATTTGAAAAAGAACAAAAATGGAATTTTAAGTTTAAATTAAAGTTCTTACAATTTGGTAAATTTGGCTAATAAAAATCAGATGATGGTAAAAACTTAAAACAAAAGCTGCTACACTGGTCAGAACCAATACCTTAACTATCTGGGGACTTAAAAAAGGTTGTGTATTATTACTTTTATATTTTCTCTACATAACACTTTAACCCATCCCACCTTCCACCCTACATGCGATAATAATGAAGACCTTGAGTTAGATTAACGTCGGCCAGGTTTCTCTTTCTATAGTTCCACCAAGACGTCGGGTCTGAAATGTCAAACGTTGAGAATGCAGGCAGTCCTTGGCCTAATGCTGGGCACATTAGACACTCTGAATAAATGACTGTTATAGGAAATGGAATGGGCAACAAAGCAAAGAGAATTAGCTAACCAAAACGAATCACTCAGCTTGGACTGATGATGAATCCATTCCATCAGTTATTAGAAATCCCAATACTCATTCAACTGGTGGTTTTTAATTGGGGGCAATTTTGTTCTTCAGGGGATACCTGGCAATGTACAGAGTCATTTTTGGTTATCACAACTGTGTGTGGGGTATGTGTGGTGTGTGGGTTAGCCACAGGCCCCTGCCAGGTAGTCAGGAATCCTGCTCAACAGCCTACCACACACAGCCCCCACCACAGAGAAGCTTCTGACTCCACATGGGGACCGAGGGAGAAGGCTGGGAAGCCTAGGAGAGCAGTGGCGCTCTCAGAGCAGGCGAAGGAAGCGAGCCTACACACAGGCGACTGGGCTCGTACCGAGCTGCTCTGCCCGAGGCTGCGGCAGAGTGCTGGCTCCACAGGAGGAACTGAGTAAGTAGTTCAAGGATAACCACTACAAGAAATTTTAGGAAGCAAATTTTTAAGGTTCTCAATGTGACAAAAATCACATACTATCAAAAATGCTCATGTAAATAAATTACCACAGAAAATCAATTTATGGTAGGGAAACAAATAGCTTGTGGCCAAGTATCCTTTTATGGTAGCAAATAAAATGTATCGTGTTTTGAGCAATAAAAATGATTTTTAAGGAATATAACATGATTAAATATAAAAGCACACCACCAATCGGGAAAATACAAATCAAAATCACAACGAGATACTATTTCATACTCACTATATGTATGGCTCTCATCAAACAAAAAGAAACAGAGAACAAGTGGTGGCAAATATAAAGGGGAAAATCGGAACTTCTAATGAGAATGTGAAATGATACAGCCTTTTGTAAAATGAGCTGACAGCGTTCCTCAAAAGACCAAACCTGGTCACTGGACAGTAATTCCACTCAGAGGAATATCCGGGAGAAAGAACCATACCGCACACACTCAAGTATCAGCCGAGGCACCTAATTTTACCACAAAAACGGCATTAAAAAAATGTGCTGAAGAGCTCAGCTTATACATGGGTATATACGGTGTATGTGCATATAAAAACTTGTATCTGAATGCTCATAGCAGCATTACTTCTAATAGTCATAAAGGGAAAACACAAAATTTCTACCTTATTAAAGAATGAATAAACAAAATGTGTCACACACCCATGACAGGATGATTTATTTTGCAATGAGAAGGAACGAAGTATTGATGCATGGCATAACATGAGTGAGTTTTAAAAACAATGTAAAGAAGTCAACTGCCAAGGGCCACATGCTGTAATGATTGTATTTATAGACAAGGTTCAGAATCGGCAAATCTAGAGAGGCAGAGACTAGAGTAGCCCGGGATTTGGGAGGAAATGGGATCGACAGCTAATAATGGGCATAGGACTTCTTTTTAAGATGATGAATTCTCTGAAGCTGACCCCAGTGATGGTTGTGTATGTGAATTTTATCTCCATGGTGATGTTTTAAAGCAAGCGACTGCACTTCCCCTCTCACTTACTTAGATTCCAGTCAGAAATGGTATCATCATCATCCATTTCATCGTCATCGTCATCTTCCTCTTCAATTCCATCTTCATCATGCTGCTGAGCCACTGTTCTTGACCGGTGAAAACGTGGCCTTATATCCTGTTCGCTATCAGGAATCGTTTCATCTTCTTCCACATCACCCTTTTTGTTAAAAAAAAAAAAAAGACAATTTTGGGGTGACATTCATTGTAAGCTTTTAACAAGCACAAGAATAATACTCAGAGGTGACATGCATCGTCTGAAGAACGCCTAGAAGATTCTGAAGGTATGGTACCTCGTGATTAAGAATTTCTTCTCCTGGGAGAATAGACTGCCCAACCTAACTGTGAAGTACCAGACACCAGCAGCCGCTCATCGCCGGTACAGTCTAGTGTACATATATCAAACGTCTATCCACAAATTTACAAAGTGATATTTTACAGTAAGCACCAAAGAATTTAGGTTAAAGTTAAGGTCTCCAGAAACCAGTAATGCAATGAACATTAAGCATCTAGCGCCAACTAAGCTATCATCTATGACTACCCAAATTCATTAGTTTGCTTCTATCTTTGATATTATGTAACAAAGTAGACTATTTACTTAAGGTTTATTTCAAATAAATGCTCTCTTGGCTAAATTCTGATTTACCATGCCAACATAAACATAAAAATCATATTCTCTATTCATCAGAAAAGCTTATTTACCTTCAGGAGAATAATATCGATATCTGAATACTTCATGCCATTTACTAATACAGGAATCAACCTATAAAAAATAAATCCACAAAACAAGTCTAAAGATCTTTTCAGAACTATTAGGAAGTCTCGACATAGTAAGTTACATCAATACCTACATATTCGTGTACCACTAAGACATCCACTGTAATATAAGCTGCCCTCAACATCAAACTGCTGCATTTTTGAACTGTGTCTGTGAACATTTTAGCTTAGGGCGAAGTTAGGTTTTATGTTATTGGGTAGGTTCCTTTTTGGGTCTAGGAACATTCACACAATCTTCCTATAAAGATTAAGGGCAATTATCTTTGCTTGATTCCATGTTGCTTTATGAAAGCTTCACTTAGGAATGATGTACTTTGACAGAAAAGGGAACCCACAAGAGGAACACTGGGCAGAATGTCAATGTCGACCATTTAAAGCACGGCTGAAGAGAGGAGTAACAACCAACCACCTCAGGTGTGAAATGTATACAACACACTCCCATCCGGATAAAGGTAAATGAGATTTCCCATACCATTACTTGCACACACAGACTATTTAGGAAGAATATATAAGAAACTGTATTTGGGGAGAGAAGCGAGCAGGCTTAAGAGAAAAATAAGATCTTTTACTTTATTTCTAAATGATGTAACATTTTTATAGTTAGTCAATGATCAATAATTGTGTTTTTTTAAATCATTTTATTAGGGGCTCATACAACTCTTATCACAATCCATACATACATCAATTGTGTAAAGCACATTTGTACATTCATTGCCCTCATCATTCTCAAAACATTTTCTCTCCACTTAACCCCCCGGCATTAGGTCCTCATTTTTCCCCTCCCTCCCCCCTCCCCTCTCCCTCATGAGCCCTTGATAATTTATAAATTATTATTTTGTCATATCTTGCCCTGTCTGACGTCTCCCCTCACCCACTTTTCTGTTGTCCGCCGCCCTGGGAGGAGATCACATATAGTTCTGATTGTGTTTCTTTTACAATAAAAATATAGTTTAAAACTATAAAATATAGAAAGCTAATTTATCTTAAAGAAATAAAGCAAAAAAGGGAAAAGAATCTCTTCTGATAACAGAGTTATCAATAGACTAGGAAAATATTTAAAATGCCCATTTCATAAAATAATCTAAATTATTTTTAAGAAATCAAGTCATCACACCCACTCTGGAGCACTATGCAGACAATAAAACTATGAAGACTTACAGACATGGGATTACTTACATCTGAAAAAAAAAAGTTCTAAAAAAAGTAGCAAAACATTTGAGAAGCCAAAACATTACCCTTATTCTTCTTGTAGCGATGACAGTCTTACACTTACAGCTTTAAGTTTTGATGGTTTATTTTCTCAGACCTACCATACTCATCTGAAAAGATTCTTAGGACAGAAGGCATGGGACTGCTTCGGAAGCTACTGGGGTGGCTTGTCAAGGAACAAGTAGAAAGGACTCACATTTCTTGAGTGCCAGCTGTGGGCTTATTCATGATCTTTATACTACAACCTACTGGGAAAGGTGTTACAATACTCACCTTATAGATGAATAAATTAAAAAGCATGATGGTTGTATTATTTGCTTAAGATCAAAGGTAAGCTTTAAGTAAATGCGACAGTCAGGATTGAAATCAATTGGGCTGACCATTAATTACAGAGATTCTCCCCCATATCAGATTTGAGAAGGCCTGGTGGTGGGGTGGTTATGTGTTGGGCTGCTAACCACAGGTCGGCAATTCTAAGGCAACAGCAGCTCTGCAGGAAAATGATGAGGCTTTCTAATCCTGTAAAGGGGCACTTCTGCCATGTCCTATAGGGTTGCTATGAGCCAGAATCTATTAGACGGCTGTTTTTTTTTTGTTTTGTTATACTAGATTTAAGAAACTTTCATTCTCCACGTTTAAGTTTTAGTTCTTGTTAGGCTTTCCTTCCAAGTTTCAAGCCATAATGCCAATTAAGCAAAGAAACATGAAATCAACACAGAAAAACTCTAAGAAATGATGAGAGCGAGTCCCATTGATGCTTTGATGTTTAATTATGAACTTTTTAAGATGAAAGAAACGGTAGCGGGTTTAAACGTTAGTGGAGGACGTGAAAGCAGGGAGAATGGCAAGCGGATAGTTGATGGAGCAGTCAGGTCCCTGAGGATAAACAAAGTCCTGCTTCTCAGACTGGAAGCTTTTGGATTGGTTAGGAAGACGGCAGCTCACTTGAAAATAAACGTACAAGTTGTAGAGCACGACGGGGTTTTCTTTTGAAAGCAGAAGTGCCCACAGTGAATGATGGAAACTTAAGAAAATGCAGTAAAAGTTTGAAATAGCTGCTCTGCTGAACGATTTGTGCTGGTCTCTAACAAGGATAGGTAGATAGTGTGCAGGGTCTGCCCGAAGCTGATGACCACGGATCTCAACAGCCACGACAGTCCAACTCTAGGCAACAGTATTAAAGAGCAAAAAAAGAGATTATTCCAGAGGAGGGGAGATGAAACGTGTAACAACTTGGGAGGATGCTCAGTTTGGTTTATTAGTGGATTGTGTTTCTGCTGGATAGAGTAAAAAGTGTGCCAGAGAGGGGACAACATAACGGGGCGATGACACGAAGCAGATGTGCTTAATAAGGTATGCAGGAAATGATGGGGCTGGTGTGGTGCATAGGAATTCCTAAAGGAGTGCTAGCAGCAGTGGCTAAGTACTCAACAGCTTAAAGGCTGGCAATTTGAACACAGGAGAAAGATGGGATGGTAGTCTCCTTTTGAAAAGATGACATTTCTCTCCTTAGAAACTCTATGGGCTAAGTTCTAGTGTATTCTAGGTTCACTATGAGATAGAATGACTCACGGCAGTCAGTCTGCTGTTTGCTCTCTTGGTATACATTCATTGGGAGTTGGCGTATACTCAAAGGCAGCAGGTTCTGATTTGTGGTGCAATAGCGTTAAGTGCTCCAGTACAAACGAAATGGTTTGCTGAATTGAAAAATGGCTGTAGCCACAGACTGTTGGAAAGCCGCCAGATATACAAGTCAGATTCAGAAGAGGGCATGGATCATGGGATGGACATCACGGTCGATAGCAGATGGATCTTAGCTGAAACCACAGAATAGCAGAAAGATGTTTGCCTGGGCTTATTGACTATGTGAACTCATTCAACTGTGTGCATCATAAAATTACGGCAGCAGTGTGAAGAATGGAAATTCCTGAACACTTCGCTCATGAAGAACCCGCAGAGAGACCAAGAGGCAGCCATCTAAGAGAAGGGGATACTGAGTGGTTTAAAAGGAAATTATAATGTAAAAGATATGGTAAGGTTGTATCTTTCCATCATACTTATTCAGTACTTTTCAGTATCTGTACGCTGGGTAAATAATCTAAGAAGCTCAACTATATGAAGAATGTGGTTTCAGGAATGGAGGTAAGACTTGTTAACGACCTGCAGTATACAGATGCTACAACCTTGCTTCCTGAAAGGGAGGAGGGCTGGAAGCACTTATTGAATAAGAAAAAAGATTATAGCACTCACAAAACAAAAATCCTCACAATGGGCCCCTTAAGACATGATAAATGGGTAAATGACTGCAACTGTGGAGAATTTTTTACTTGGTTCCACGATGCGCACAGGAGGAGCAGCTGGATATTAAATAATGTATTATATTGGGCAAATATGCTGCAAAAAATTTCAAAGTGTTAAAGGGCAATGACACCACACTTTAGAGGCACGTTCAATGTAAGCCATGTCTCGTTTGTTTCTTTTGCATCATCTGCATGTGACAGCTGGAAAATGAGTAAGGCAAACCAAGAAAGACTGATGCCCTAGAGTAGGGCCAGGTCAAAACCAAACTATACACTAGGAAGGACCACCCCTCCCCACCCCTGGCAAAAAAAAAGGACCGATGCCCTTTGGAATTTGAGTGATCGGCAAAGAGTATTATATAGAGCATGGATTGCCAGAAGAAGAAATACATTTATTTGGAAGAACGACTAGAATGTATTTTAGAACTGAAGATGGTAGGAAGACTTTGCCTCACGTACTTTGGACATGTTATCAGGAGGGACCAGCGCCTGGAGGAGGACACTGTGGTTGGTACATCAGAGTCAGAGAGAACTAGGAAAGCCCTCAATGAGATGGACTGACTCGGTGGCTACAACAATGGGCTGGCACATAAACTAACGTGCAGTCAGAAATGACTCGCGGGGGGCACCTAACAACAATACAGGAAGAAACAAGCCTATCACAAGTAGCACCACAAATCAGGAATGAAAAGATGTGTCTGTTTCCTACAGAGAAAAAGTAAACCATAAAACAAGCACTGTTTAGTCAGGGAAATTTTTATTAGAAAAGATACAGTTAAAAAAAAACTGGAGTTGACTATATGAAATGAGAACTTCCAAATACCGTTATGAAAAAATGTAACCAATACAAACAATGGTTTTGCCAATGCTAGTACTGGAAATTGCCAAGATTAGCAAAAGTATAATTAAAATCCAACAAAAGTTGCATGAGGGCAGAAATATTGATGGTGTGCTGATTGCCATTTGGAGTATTTATATAAAGCCCTTTAAAATTTTGATCACGGTAAAACTCATTCGTAGGAATTGTTGAAAACCAACCATTTATGAATAAATACAAAGATGTTCACCCTATGATTATTTATAATGTATTGCACGGGGCAATTTGACCATGAATGCCATCTTTGTTGTTCCATGGTGCGCACGGCACAATGGCGTTCTACAGTCAAGAGACACTAGTTCACTCACATCTCGTGGTAACTGATAAGAGCAGGTGACAAAATCAAACTAAGCAGTAACAATAGATTAGAAGACATGCTATGAGAATGATGATGGCAACAAATGTACAAATGTGCTTGACACAATAGATGGGTGTATGGATTGATAAGGGTTAAAAAAAAAATGCTAAATGTTTTACACATTACCTGATTTAATCTCTTCCAAACATTGAGATATATGGCATTTGTGCCAAAACAAGCATTAAAAGGCAACAAAAATATATTGATTACTAAAGGACTGAATATCCAAGAATTATATTTTAATTTTAATCGTTTTCACAAGCCTGTATATAATTGCTTATTTTCAGAAGCAAGCAAGCATCACTTAAGAGTGATTAAAATGCAGGTACCAATAAAGCTCTACAGCATAGTTTCTGAGAAAAAAAGAACAAAACATCATAGAGTTCATAAGGACGATGCATAGCGGAGAATTACGCCATGAATTATTCAGAATTTGTTTGGGGGATAAAGTTTTCATACATTTGCATTCTCACCGTCTTTCTTTCTGAGCTCTTTCTCCCCCATTCATATACACTCAATACCCCCCAAGGCTTTATCTAATTTTGCAAGCTGCTGTTGTCAACCTGAACCCATCAACATAGTTCTTTAAAGAACATAAAGTTCAGCTACTACCTACTACCACTGAGTCAATTCTGACTCATAGCAACCCTACCGGACAGAGAACCGCCCCTGAGTTTCTGAGGCTTTAAATCTCTAAAGAACAGTCTCATTTTTCTCCCATGGAGCAACCAGCAGGTTCAAACCACCAATCTTGCGGTTTGCAGCTCAATGTGTAACTCAAGACACCATCTTTGTTGTTGTTGTTGTTAGTTCAGTTAAAGATGATTTCAGGGGATATTTTTTATTTCAAGTTTAAAGATTATCTCAGGACATTAGTTCCAAGGGTCCATCCACCTTCTATGGCCCCAGAAAACCTAGTTTCCATTTTGAAATTCTGCTCTATATTTCGCCCCCTTTGATCAGGCTTCTTCTCCAGAATCTTTTATCAAAATATTCATAATCTAACACCATCCAGTTGTTGTAATCACTTCTTCAAAGATAATTTTTTTGGTAGAAATATTTCTTCTTAGAACTTTACTATTGCACACTGGCAGAAAAAATAAACCTAAACATGTAAAGTGAAGTACTAAGCAGAAACGAATTATAACCTAAAAGAAATAAAATAATAACAAAGAAACTAAAAAGTAAACTCTCTGACATCAAATGGAATCCACAGCCAACAGGGCTTCCAAAGTTGCAGACTAAGAACCCAAACTGCTAGATCTTTCTTTGCAGACTGGCTGGGTAGGTTCCCACCACCAACCTTTTGGTTAGTAGCTGAGTAACAACTGTACCCCCAGCATTCTGTAAATCACAAACACAGAAGCATTTATAAAAGGAACACTTACTTAGGAAGATGCCTTATGAGAACATCTTTGCATATTGGTTGGTCAGCCAAAGTGAGCCAAAATTCACAAGCTTCTAAAGCGACGTTTTCATCATTATCTTGGGTCCTCTGTAGCATGTACTGTAAGCAAAGGCACCATAATACTGCTCAGGTTAAATCATACAATTCCTCTCAACCTTACATCAGTAACTTAAGTCCTGTGTTATGGCCTTGTATTTCACAGGGATTCGTAACTTAAGTTTTGGATACATTTTAACAGCTTCTAAGGTGATTCTAAAATACAGCCAAATTTAAGCAGCACTCAATATTGGCCCCCCCCCTCCCCCGCAAAAAGTGTTCAAAGTATTTGTTTACGTATAGCTGTATCTCACTTTATAAAATGAGATGTTTGAGATGTAACCTTTACTAATCAAGTAGTAAGCCTTTTTAGAAACCTTCAAGAACCCCACTGTAATAACTTTCTTAAGTTGAAAAATTATTTTATAATCCAGTTATCTCAAGATATAAGTCTCACATATCTGAAGCCCACATACATATGTAAAGTACAAGGTAAAGGAAAATGAACATAGCTGAAAGTCTGTGTGATTTTCAGAATACACATGGGGCTGGAACTGGAGTGAAACTCTGTCTCTCTGCAGGAATGCAGACAGTTCAAGATAAAACGTTGGAACACAATGGTCATATGCTACTCCCTGTTCCATGCCGTATTATGTCCCACTTGAGTGCTGCTAGTGAAGTTTCTAGCTGTGACCTGACCATAGCAACTCTGTCATTCATAACTTCTGGTTAGCTCGATCCTGCCTTACTCTTCTGAATTACTTCCTACAGAAAACAGGCTCAAAGAGGATTTCTTTAAGTCCACTTCATGTTGCTACAAACCCTTATTTCTGTCTTTCTCCTAAAGCTTTACAAAAGATGTTCCACACACATAGGTGCTCATATTCTGTAGTTAGGTCTTAGGCCTATCCTTTAAAAATCAATCCGTCCTCTCTATTTAAAAATAAATTTTCCTCACACCACATAGACGTTAGTATATTTATTTGAAACACTTGCAAAGCTATTACCATATTCACATACAACATGAACACTAGGTACCACAGTTGGAGTCTAGCAGTAGTTAGTACTGCCAAAACAGTAAATTACTGTTTTAATAATTACATCTTGTAGGGAAAATAAAAAAAGTATTGCTACAAAATAAATCAAAGCAACCACAGAGCATAAACAATTGTGAAGCAATTTTTCCTTGACATACCTTCCCTCTGGGTCTATACCCTTCTGGCAGGCAGTGCTTCCACCTCCCCAAAGAATTTTGCACTCTCCCATTTACAATTTATCAAAACGGCAACTGTGGCATTCTTTTCTGTTTTTGTTATTATTATTTTTTAACTGTGGCATTCTCGAGGGAGGGGAATCATGTGCCTTTGCAATGGTCTTTGTGGAGGACAGAGAGAAGTCTGAAGGGGCAAGATAACAGCGATGGGTATGTTGTCCCAAACTTCTCATAGAACCGCCCTGTTTCCTTTGCAGCCGGTTCATTATTGTGATGGAAAACAATTTCCCTGATCGATTTCTCACCACTGCAGTTTTCAGTTTTCTTCAAAATTTGATGGCTGCCCTGTCCTCGTGAGAAAATCTATCATGCCTACCTCTTTGGAACCTGTACCACCCCCCACCCCCCAAAGGAGTTGCCAGAAACTGTGAGCTGAACTCTCCACCTTGAATTGGCTTAACAGATCCCCTTAGAAGCCACCGTTTTGATTTGGACACCCTCCACCCCCACCCCCTGTAAGTACTCTAACAAAGAATACAAACTGCACCACTGAGAGAAATTCTTTGTAGCCATCCACGGATCAGACATGTATTTAAATACATTTTATTTGGAATAAACCCATGCATGTATCAACTAGAACTTTTTTTTTTTTTTTTTAAACATTTTTTTGGGGGCGCAAACAACTGTTATCCCAATCCATACACACATCAATTGTGTAAAGCGCATTTGTACATCGTTTCTCAAAACATTTTCTCTCCATTTAAACCCCCCGACACTAGGTCCTCATTTTTCCCCTCCCTCCCCGCTCCCCCCTCCCGCATGAGCCCTTGATAGTTTATAAATGGGTATTTAGAACTCTTAATAGCAATATTTTTTTTACTTACTCTTCATATCTTTTTATTTAGGTTTGACCAATCTGTGATCAGAATATACTCAGAATTTCTTAGTAAAGTTACTTTAACCACCCCCAATAAGGAACCCGAAAGAAATCCTTTATATCTCTCTGGTTTACTGTAACTAGGTATAATGTATTTTATCTCTTAGAACAAGTCTAAGCTGTTCAGGTGAATTTTGGAAACTTCCAAAATTTTGTTATTTAGTTTAACCTGTATCTTATCTATGAAATAAAAATAACCCATTGCCCAGCTGCCTGGGGTTAGAAGCTGGCAATTTCTCTACATAACTTTTTTCTCCTGAAACACCTTAAATCCCATGAAAGAAAACCATCACAGAGGCATCTATGTAACATGTTAAGGCAATCATACTCCCATTCCCACTGTCCCATCAACTATGTTCGCAAAAACTTAGAAATCAGCAATCTCATTATACACAAATTTCTTCTCGAGGGGAAGGAAGCCCTTAAGATCGCTTGAGTTACCTCAACTATATTATGCATGTGAGGAAGGAGGCGATCCATTCGAACTTCAAGCAGCATCACAAGAGCCCGGCACACATTTTTCCGCACCTCTGGTTCTTCATCACCAGCCAAGGCAAAGAGATTCTATTGCAGGATAAACACATTTTTTTTCTAATTTAAAAATTCTAATACATCAGAATGGCTCATACATAAAAATAATTATTTGAGTTGGTGACAGTAAGAAGTCGTCTGTGAAACACTGTACAAATAATGACCAATTTAACTGGCCTATAATATTATAAGAAAATTAAATGTGGGACAACAGCCATTCCAAACTATCATTTTGCTAAACAATTAGTCAGACTTTGATAAGAGTAGGATCATTAGTGTGCTGAAGTTATTTTTAGTTTATGACATTAAAACAATGTTATCAAGAACATTCACCCACAAACAGAAATAATCACTAAAATGAGATAGTTTGGCTTTCACAAATTAGCTGCCGAATTGAAGAAAGCCTTTTGCTATTTCTACAAAATGTTAACTAGAATATAAAATGTTTATTGCAGTAGGGTTTATATAAGTAGTGCTTCTACTGATATCTTTCTTGATTAGCTTAAAAAAATTATATATTTTCATACAAGTTTCTACATGACCCTAATTTCTATTCTTGTCTCATTACAGTCTAGTAACAATCTGTGGGTTAACATCTGTCCTAGGAGAACACTTTCAGTGAAATTTTTATTTTCAGAGAAAATTTCTTCTTTTCCAAATAATAATTCCTTATGTTGACATGTCTATCATTGTTCATTTATTGAACAACAATGTAACAACTACTACTTCTAAAGACAACAGGAAGTAGGCAGAATGCTTCTTATTCACACAAACTGTATACATAAGTAGCAGAAAGATGGGGCTTTCTACTCCTGTAAACAGTTTTAGTCTCAGAAATTCACTAGGACCCCGCCCAGTCCTACAGTGTTGTTGTGGGTTGGCATTGCCTTGATGGCAGGGAGTATCTTCAGAGCAATTTAATAAGGTATGTCCCATTTTACATATGATGAAACTGAAAGCATCCTTTGAATAGGTGCTCAAGGGCATGCAGCTACTAAACCGAGAAATGAGGACTTAAATCTTGGCAATCTCACTTCAGATCACCAGTCTTAGCCACTATACTAGATCATCTCTAGATCATCCAGGTTGAATTTTATCTTAAAGGTATGAAATTGATTATGGATCTCTGCATCAAGCAGAGGGCCTGATTTATAATAACAAATATGTAAAAAAACAACCCCCCCGCCCATGCCATGTAATGTAGTTCATTCCAACTCTTAGTGGCCACATATGGTGGTTTATCAGGCTGAAACCTTTATGAGATCAGATAAGTTATACTTTCTCCCATGGAGCAGCTGCAGTTAGAGCAGGCCAAGGCTAACTAGATAGCACCATCAAGACACCTAGATATTGAATACCCAAACACCCTAAACCCATACCATCAAGTCGATTCTAACTCAGTGCCCTTGTGGGTTTCTGAGATTACAGTTCTGTACTGGAGTAGAAAGCCTCATCTCTCAGCTGGTGGCTTCAAACTGCTGACCTGCGATTAGCAGCCCAATTCATAACCACTATGCTACCAGGGCCCCTTGATAGAAGGTACTCAGTAAAACCCACTTAACCTGTAAATGGCTTGAGGGTCCTTATGGCTACTAGTCTATCAATATACGAAGCTGCTAAATTCAAAATAAGGAAAAACAAAATAAAGCGAATTCCCCCTTTTGTTATAATTTTCCAATAGAATTAGCAGCCACATAACCTCTGAGGGATTTTTAGGAACGGTTGAAAAGAATGAACTATTTAATTAAATTGCATTTAGTGGATATAGAAATACTTAAACTATAATAACTCTTTCTTTTGATATTATCAAGCTATAGAGAGGTTCCAGGAAGGAATCCAACCACTTTATGATTCATGGTCAGAAAGTTCTGCTTATTGTCCGTCTCTCTGCTTTTAGAAAAATGTTCAAAGTGCTTTTAGGGCGTGTGGCTCAGATTTAAGACTTAATCTACTCCCACCTCTGTACTCCCACCTCTGTTGCACAATGGAAATGAATGGAACACCAGAAATACTGCTCTTTTAAGTTTGTGCCTTAAAATTTTTCCTAAGCCAAATCTACCCAAGTTTACCAAGGGTTCTCATTTCAAGTATTGCATATGAACTGGGAGCTTAAGCTTTCATACGCAATTTTAACATTTTAATATTGTAGCTGAAAAACTGACAGAAGTCCAGATATTAAACACATAGACTATTATCAATTTGTAGATGATATAGTCAAGAAAACTTAATAACCAAAAAAGTACTTAAATAATTTTCAATGAGCAAGTAAGTGTCTAAGGAACCTTGGTGGCACTGTAGGTTAGGTGTTGAGCTGCTAGCCACCAGGTCAGTGGTTCAACCCCATCATTCACTCGGAGGGAGAAAGATGTGGCTGTCTTTCAGAATCTACTAGATAGCAGTGTCTTTTGTATTCTGTTATCTAATTCTAACGCTACAGAAATAAAGTAAATATTGGCAATTTATACTGTAGCCATAAATTATCAGTTTTAAAGAATTAAATAATGCAGGTAGTATTATGTAACTTCTCAAAAGCAAGGGTAAGGCGAAAACCAATCTTACCTCAATAAAAGAATCAATGTGCAGCATCAGAGCTTGAGTCCTACTGATGATAAACTGATTGACGCATGCAACAGCATGAGACCTAGAAACACATTTAACATTTAAAGCCTGCTCCTTGCAGCTTTTCCTAATTACAGAAGACTGGAAAGAGCTAAATATTCCTTCAACGAATCCTATGGTACATGTATTTCCTTAACTATAAGAGCATTAAAAATTATAGCTAATACCATCCACTAGCCTTACATTTCCTTTAAAATAATTTTATTGTATATATATATATGCAAAACCTGTATATGTGTTTGCTTTAATGTCATAAAAAGTCTATTTATATGGAATGCAATCTTTTGGAGCTTACCTTTTACTTAGCAAACTTATCCTCGTCCTTAAAGCAAAGTAATTAACCAAATACAAGGTAGAAAATGATCTAGTTAATGAAAGATTCTTTACAAAGGATCAATCACTTACTGGATTTTAATATTAAAGGAGTACATTTACTCTTTGTGGAACATATCATATCATTTGCTAATCGCAAAAATATTAAGATCCATATATTCCATAAATGTGGAATCAAGTTATGAAAACTTCGTGGCTAGAACCAAACACCTTGTGGAATGAGTAGCTGGGCCTGGGCTTCAAGACCATAATCTTGGAAGACATCAAGGTCAACTGGCACAACATAATTCTCAAGGACGACAGCCTTGGCAAGTAGTGACTGAGGTCTTAAAGGTTTGTTAAGTGGTCCCCTAAAGGGCAACTATCAGTCTCCCCCCATTCAAAACAATGAAGAGTGGAAAAACAAAACAAAAAACCAAACCAAAACAAGCGGCAGTTAGTTCAAAGGATTAATTGTTGGTGGAACCTCAGCCTCCAGAACTGAGGTCAGAAGAAACTAGTGGTGCCTATTTACCATTTTGGACCACCCTCAGGATAGCAAGAGTAGGTCCTGGATAAAGGAGAAGGGAAATGTGGAACAAAAATCAAAATAAAAGACGCAAGGTCTAATTACTGACTGCGATAGGTTTAGTTTGCCAACTAGGCTCCCTAGGAATACGTGGGCAGAAGTTATGTCAGGTCGAAGCTTGATTGGAGGGCAGATGAGATAAATGGTTTTCCAAGGCCGCCCCCTTGCTCGCTTCTTCCCTGGTCATAAGACCAGCACTCTGCTGCCTGAGCTAGTCCTTTGCCGCAACTGTGTGCTATAGCACTGTGGGCAGAGCCAACCTGTGGTGTGCGTCGCCTTGCTGTTGTGCACTGCTGGAGCTTGAGGTTCCACCAACACTTGTTTCTCCACACTTCTTGAGAATCCACGACTGGCCTGTGCTATGCCTCAACTTCTCATCTTCCTGCTGTTGCTGCCCCACCCTGCATGTCTAGCCTAAGGGCAGACTCAGCTGTCTGTTTCCTTGACCTTGGACCAACAGCGTTTGAGTTAAAGGACCTTCAGTATATTAACTGTTTCACTAAAGTGAGTTGAACCGTACCCTCTATATTGCTGTGTGGACTAATCAGCACACCTGTTACATTCCTTCTCGCTATAAAGTGTCCTGGTTTGTTTCTCTAGAGAACTTTGCCTAACACACTGGTCTAATAGAGATGAATGGAACACACAAGGCTATAGCTCTTTAAGCAACCTTTAAGTCTAGAAAGGAACTCAATCCCGTGACTCAACTTTCAGCCAAACAACAGGCAGGCCTATAAGGTAAAAAAAATAACACGAAGGAGACACCATTCCCTGGAACAATTAACCATGTGAGATTAGTGGAGATAAAGCTCAGAGGCAGGAAGGGAAGTGAGAAAAGTGCTGTTACAGTGGAGGAACTGCAGTCAATGTCACACAAAAAGGCACGTGCCAACTGTGGGATGGGAGACAATTCGTTTGCCAATAATCACGCAAATCACAATAAAAAGTTAAAGGAAAAAAAAATTTAGATACGCCCTATAAAACAGAATACTGACACATTGTGAAAAACGTAACTAGTGCAAATATTACTGAACAATTTGTGTAGGAATTACTAAATTAGAACAGAATTTTCTGTGCAAATTTTCACCCCAAACATTATGATTTAAAAAAAGAAAATAAACAGTAAAGTGGTATCAAACAATGATCAGAGCTTATAAAAATTTAGTATTGGCTATAGAAATACCTTATTTTGGGACTACTGTGCTTGAAGAACTGTAAAAATTTGGGAATCATGATGTTGAGAGGACGATCCAAAACATCACTATCTAAAATCTCAGCAGAATCTTCACATATCTTCTGAAGAGCACCAAATGCTCCCTATTCCAAAAACACATTTAAATATAATTAGTCCACGATTAAAGAAATCATTAAACAGCAAAACCAGGAATATTGATATATTTGATTATAATCAAATTTGATTATAAATTTAAAAAGAAATATTGATAAACTTAAGGATTAATATTCTCAGTTAACAAAAATGCTCCCTTGCAAAAGCTGTAAGTTTAAACACTGCACTTAAAAGGAAAAATAACACAATACTTTGAAGTCTCACTCTGAAAATGTTTAACAGTACATCATCATCTTAGGATCAAATGACTTAGAGGATAGCTGGGCTGGGACTGTAATAAATAATACCTAATTGAAAAACCTACTTCCTCTGAAATATTCTTGTAAATCTAAGTTACTGCTATTTTTCTCTCATTTGATACCAGATTATCAAGTGAATATAAAAACTAAACATACATTTGAAACACAAAGTTATCTTTAATCAGTCTCACTAAAAAATTATTTATACATTGAGTAACTGGGAAGAAAATCTGTTAAAAGGGAAGACAATCCAAATTGGCCATGATTTCCCCGTTAACTATTTTTATGCTAACCCAGAACCCAGAGCTCTTGCACACAAAATGTTTGTGGACAAATGGAATTAAGATTAGAATTTCCCCAGGAACTTTTTGAAGCCCTCTTGTGTAATTCACTAGTTCCGTTAACCACAATTGTTTTATAAATTCCATCAGCAGTAACTTGGTACTTAATTATTATACAACTAATTTAAAAAGCATCCAACAGAGAGTAAAATCCTTCAAAGCAAATAGCATCTTTTTAGGGTTCATAATGTTAAAATTCAGTCTTTAGATCTAACATACGTACATTTAACATTAGGGATTTAAAAGTTGTCACGTAAAAAATTTCACACATCTTAACTTTGACATTCTACTTAAAGTAAAACTAAATGCAAACTTGGTATCTATTGTGACAACAAAAAGAAAATTATCAGTATTTCAACCAAAAGCTAACATTTAGTCAATAAAACGTCAAACACCTACTGATTCACATCGTTGTTTCAGGTACATGAAAAACAGTATTTAAAATAAGACTTATACAGCCTACAATTTTCATGATTCTTGCCATTACACTTTTTCTCTTTTTGCTTTTGGAAAAGTGCTTAAAATTATCAACTCATTTTATGTTATTATCAATATACCAAACTTATTTTAATCAATTCTTAAAGGATGGCTAAAGAGTATTCTTTCAGCTTTTCAGAATCATATCAGTACATTCTGAAGGCATTCTTCAGAAACGCACATATGAGCACACAGAATTTTGGGACAGGTCAGAGTAATTTTATAAATACCTGTGTGCTAACTTCTACTCTTCTCATCTTTCCTTCCCCAGCCCCACTGAGGTCAGGCAAAATAAATCCCCAAACCCTAAGATATGAATCTCTTTTGTTTGGTTATTCCTGTATCCGCCACCCTCACCTCTAATCCCATCTACAAACCTATGTTTTCTAAGCTTTTGCTCAAACAGATTTTGGTCCAAATTGGAAGCCTAATAAAGATGGAGGTTTAAGTGAGCGGTGAGAAATTAATAGGAACATAAATCCCTAACAGTCTCTCTTACCCTCCCCTACCTGGGAAGATTGCTGCTGAGTCAGAATTGACTTGATGGCAGTCAGTTTGCTTTCTGGAATGTATGATTTAAACGGGAAACCTCGATATACTGTGAATACACTCACAGGAGGTACAAACACTGTAGAAGAGCTAAAAAAGTACTCCTAGTCTAGGAACTGGTTCAATTTCAGACTCTTTACAAAACAGCACATTACCTGACTATACTGACAATAGTCGGCTAATTACATACAAGCACACCCAAGAATACGTGAAACATAGTAAAGAGGG